CCCCAAAACCCCAAAACCCCAAAACCCCAAAACCCCAAAACCCCAAATGGGTGAATTAGCGTTGAAAATTCATATTGATATATTATTTTTATCTTAAAATACAAAATGTCTCAAGCATCGTCAAACGTTGTTTCTGAGTAAGAAAAAGTTGTATAGATTTTAGCTTTGGTGGTAGATTTGGGAAATATTTAGATAGTTAAACAACTTTAGAAAAGTCTTAATTTCACCGCTAGCTCAAGAAGGATAGTACAGTAACTGTATAGAAACCCCAGTCAGATGTTTCCAAACAATCCTCAAGATCCTTCAATTAGGACCCATCATTCCCAAAGAAGGATACCTGAAGATATGAATGGAGGCCCAAGAATGGAAAATTTCAACTCTTCACTTAGACAAAACATGGGAAGACATCAAACCCACCATTCACATCCAAGAGGAGGTCCAGAAATGTCTAGAGAACAAATGAACGAAAGTCAGGCTCATATCTATGATGCTTCAGGTAGAATACTGCCTCCACTTTCTTATTTCAGAAAGCAGAACATCTTCAAGCTTCTCATGTATGGCATCAAAGAAGAGCAAGGGGAGATAAGCATTCTGAGAAGACAACTATTCAGGAAATATAAGAGCGCTCTCTACAAGTTGATGAACCGCCTAGAATATGAAAGAAAAATGCTCGTCAGACAAGAAATGGTGATTAGAGGAAGAGACCCGGAGAAAGCTTTGGAGAACAGCGCTATAATGAACAAAAATGTAGATGAGAAGTATCTTTTCAGCCAACTTATCCCTGATCATGTTAGAAACAGGAAAAGAACGAACCCAAATCTAGAAGATTCTTATAAAAATAATGGAAGGACTAATCCTCCAAACCCAGCTGAGGTTGGAGGAATGGGATCTAGAGAACCCCAAAGAGAATCTAAAATGAGAGAAGGACCTTTTGGGAATGTAGATAATGCCGCAAATCAGCCTAATGTTGATAAAATGTCAAATTATTCGAGATCTGAGTTACTTAGAAATGGAACAAACTATCATTCTTACTCGAAGCCTCAAGAAATCAATAAACCAATGAATAGTCCTTTGCCAATTGTGATAAATCGCCACCCCCGGGTATAGAAACCAATGAAGAGAGACAGAGAAAGTATAATTTGAGAAATAGAGATGAGCAAAGAAGAGGAAGCCTGGCTGGAAGCCAAGATTCCTACGGACAATTCTCTGGAGGCCCTAATGCCTTCAATACTTCCGCTAACGAAGCCGACATGAGGGTAAAAATCAAAGAGTTCTTTGTTGAAGCAACTAGAGAGGATGGACTTTTAAATTGAGATGCGTATCTTGATAATTTCAGGAACTATTCTTTCCATGATTCACCTGGAATCAAAGGTGCAGTTTTAAGAAATACACACAGACAGAAAGCAAAGACATCTAGCTCAAAATCAATTGGAATACTGAATGATGAGGAATATGTAAGGCAGCCAAAGGATTCTGCCAGAAGACATAGTGAAATGGTGATAAGTAATTATTATTGTAATTTCTTTTAGAGCCCCAAAGTTTAAATGAGAGAATTCCAGTAAATACTCCTGTTAGAGAGCCTCAGACTTCAAGAGCAAGAGATTATGAAGGTATGATACCAGAAAAATACCAAAATGCTCCTCTGCAAAAGAGGCTAAGTGCTGGCATGCCTTTCACTGACAGACAGATGAATCAAATGTACCATCAAGAAGAAGTCAATCCGAAGATGATGAGACATCCAAGTTCCGGATATCAGCAAAATAAGTAAGGATCCTCAATCATTATGTAGAATGAGTGAAGATGTGTCAAAACCTCAGATGGTTGACGAAAAGTATCAGCAATATCAGCAAAACCAACAAAGAGAAAGAATGGTAATTCTTGTTGCTAAATTTAGTCTCATGAAATGAAACAGAAGCAGAGAGGTTACATTGGGAGTTTTTCGAAGAGATTGGATCACCTCAGCCAAAGTATAAAGAAATGTTGAGAAACTGTCTTCCTGTCATGAGATAAGGACCTCAAGAATCTTGATGGTACAGAAGATATAAAAATGGAGGAAAGTTTTGACCATAGTAAATCAGAACCAGAAAGGAAGCAAGGAGGCAAGAGAGGAAGACAACCCTCATCTGAGTAAGTTCATGGTATATTTTCAGTCACTTGACTTCTTTATGGCTCTATTATTCTCTGTCACAAGAAGACAGGTTTGAACAATAAGCAAATTTTATTGAGATGTTGAGTTTTAGAAATTATTTAAGCTTTATTATTTCCTCTAAGCTGATTTTTGACAATGAAATGTAGCAACCTATCTTTATTCTTTCGAAATTGCAAGCCCAACGAGTTTATCAATCTAAATGGCATCAGCAATAAGTTATCGCTGGAATATAATATGCAAGCATTTAATCAAGATTTGAACAAGCAAGGGATATATGAAGCCCTGGATCTTTATGGGTATAACGAACGTAAGCTATCACAGCTTAAAATTTTAGGCGAGAAGGCTTATTTCCAAGACGTTTATAACAAATTTTACAAAAACGATGACTTCCTTAACAGAATTGGCCAGGGCCACCTCTCGACTAAGAGAAAAGTTCTCCCTGGAGATCTTGTCTGTGAGGAAGCTGAGGATCCATTGGACAATGGCTTGATTGAGCCTGATATTAACAAAGTTAAGCACTATATTGACTACGAGAAGCATATTAAGAGGTAAGTAGATCTCTTTGATCCCTTCTCTATAGCTCTAACCCTAATCCAAATAGGGAGCAAGGAGTGAGGAATCCTCAGTCTTATGGCACAAGACTGTCGATAGACCAATGACTGATGATCAAGGATGAAAGTTTTATGTAGATGCTAAGTTTTAAAAGTTTCAGTTGACTCAGTATGAACTGGGGTTTTGGGGTTTTGGGGTTTTGGGG